TTATTAAGGAAATATGTTAAAAGTTCCAAAGTATTTCTCTTGTACTGATGTTCTTCCATCTTCAGGAAAATGACAGTGTGGTTATTAGGCATCTGTGTAAATTTAGTTCATTTTGCCTGTAAATTGCATCACAGTTGGTGTAAACTTGCCACAGCCACAAGGCTGTAGCTCCTCCTAATTTGATGAGTGAAGGGGCCTCCTTTAGTTCAGATAAAGATCCTGCTTTTGAAGCACATGTGATCAACTTTACTTTTGCCATGGTATAGACCACACTGAGAATTTGTCTCAGAGTGTATTCCTGGTCCAGTCTAAAATCAGTTTGAAATCAAAGAAACACCCACCAAGGTGGGTCTGGTGTCGATACCCCAGGTTTTAGCACTAGCTGGTTTTTTTTCCAAGAGATTTGTTACAATTTCACTGTAATGCTTGTTAGCATGGACATAGCTGTACAGCACCCAGAAAATTAAGTAACAATACAGGTTTTACATAATTACATCATTTATAGCCCTTAAACATTATTGCACATCATTATCAGTGTTCCCATGCCCCCATATACATTTCTGGTTTTTAAAGCCTCAGAGGCATTCCCCTACATTTTACATTTGTTAATGTGGGTAAAATTTGACCTGGTGTATTTTCAAGGAAGTCTATAAAAGCTTCTGTAGCTAAACTCTTGGTCTATGTGTAGTGGCCAAAAAACCTTAACGGTTTTACCAGGTACTGAGATAGAGGGGGCAATTGCAAATATGGGATCTGCAGAGAGTTCTGGTGATGCAGAATTACTGCAAACACTTCCCCTCCAGCACTGCTCCTGATGACAAGGTTCTTAATGTGCCTTGCAGCAGAAGCAGGGACGTGCTGAATGATTTTTACTCTTTATCACTTTCTTTTGGCAGTAGTCATCCATGGGAATCAGCTGGGTAGATGCTGTCCCAGAGGAGCACGCTGGCAGGGTAGGAGTGGAGCACTAAATCCCATAGGACTCCTGCAGAATAAGTGTGTTTTCCACTTCACTACAGAGGCACAGGGATCAGCCTGTTTTCTTAGTTTCCAAAGAGTCAGGTGGATGAGTGGATGACAGGTTAGGGAAACTGCTGGGTTGCCAGTGAGGGTGGAGATTAGCAGCTATTCTCTTTAATAAAGCTGTTAACTGCATGTGAAGAAAAAGCTACAAATCTGTTGGAATCTGCCTGTATCTCCTGCAAGAAGCAGCTTAGATGCTAACCTTCTCGATTGCAGTTTCAATTGCCATGATTTTACCAGAATAAATAACTGTTGGGAAAACATAAAAGCTTTCCAAGTGATTTCTGTGTTCCATACTGATCTTAGACCTTTTAAACTGAGATTATGTTTGTCCGTAGGGAAAATGGAAATGTTTGTCTGTATGGAAGACAAAAGGTTTTAATTTGATGACAAATGTGTTTGGTACATTTGTTTGCTGAAGGTTGTAGAAACAATTTTGTGCTAGAAAAATATGTGCTGGGTAATGAAAATAATGACATATAAACGAAAAATTTAAGTATAAGATAACAGCACTGTCAGAGTATTATTTCATAAGGATTCACAGTGAGTTTTATTGAAAGAAATATAGATATTCTGTGATCTCAGTGTGTAGGGATATGTTTGTAGGTGTATACAAATACACACAAATTTTGTATATCTCAATCAGAAGATCATCTAATGGCTTATATATCCTGTGTTGTCTGGTGTACACATGATTCATAGAGCAAAAGCTACTTTGGACTCTTGTGCTCATCTTTTCCCCTGGAAAAGAAAGGTCCTGTTCATAGACAGGAATCCTTAAAGCACTAAGCTGTCAGAAAAAAAAATAGTCAAAGGTATTTCTCTGTAATAAAGGCCATTTATCTACTAAAGGACTAAAAAGTTGAGAAAAGTTGAGTATGTAAATTCTGTAGGTGTGTCTGAGCAGCTAAAACTGCAGCTGTTAACAATGATCAGTGCTGTACTACAACTTGTAAATAAATCAGTATAGATTTATAAATTATGTATTTTTTCTTTATCATAGAGAGTATTTTGGGGTTTTTTCCATTCAGTTAATTTCTAAAGCATGCAAACAAATTCTACTCTCAGGACAAGTTCAGCCAGCTAAATAATCAATTTGATGCAGGAAAATTTCAAATAGTTGTGATCATTGACAACAGGAAACTAGAATGAAAGTTCTCCACCTCCAGCTTGGTTCAGACATAGTTCAGGTATGTCTGTGCTTTGTATCCCTACCTCCGTTCTGTTTGCACAACAAACTTCTCAAAACCATCATTAACAATTTACTTTCTCTGATTTGTGATAATGATGATGTACATTACAGATGAACACACAAAATTGTGGATCAGTTCTAATGGCTGAGGAAGACAGAGCAAGTTATTGCTCCAAGTCTTTAAAAGATGTTTAAGCATTTACCCCACAGTCTGTTACCACAGGTGCTGGGCACCAAAAATCTTTAGACTGTCACTATGAGTCCAGGTACACAATCATCTTTTAAGCTCATTTCTTCTGGTTAAACAAATAACAAAGAGTTAAATTGCACCCAAGAGACCAAAGAGCATTCAAGCTAATGAAAGCCATGCCTTTGGTCATTTTCTCTAGACTTAAATTCCTGCCGAAGTTTGTTTTAATTCTCATTACGTATTTCATGGTTATAAAGCTAGAAGAGGCCATTAGAATATTTAGTTTGAGCTTATTCGTACTGTAAGTTCTTAGTGTCACCCTGTTGTTTATTACAATTGGCTTGTGACTTATGTACAAGGAAAGCCCAAATAGAATGTATAATGCATGTAGAGTTTTTTTTGTAGAAGTATTTCTACTAGGGATTATTTCTATTCATTTCAAATTTGCAGTGTCACTTTATTTGAAGATCCCAGTGGAAATTGAGGGTTGTATTTTAGCTCTGAAAATAATTTTAAACAATCTTGGCAGTAGTAGAAAAGAAAGCTATTGGATCCATAGCTTAGTTGTCTAATTTGTAAATAGTTTAAATGCTAAGGCTGTAAAATAAATTATGTATGGCTTGAATTTAAATGAACAAAGAATGCTGGTCTTCCTTTGGGGAATAGCTTTAATTTAAAAAGAAAATTATGTTTTTATGTAACTCTCAGTTGGGAATGCATGTTAGAAAAATAACTATTCAGTGTTTTGAAAATACAGTTCTGTTTGAGCTAGAGGCTCAGAAAGAAATCAACATATAGGCAATTCCCATCTAAGAACTAAGCTACTGATGCACCTAACTCAGCTGGATTAGTAAAGACAAGACTGTAAATTGAGTTCCTGTAAAATGTGTCTCAAAAAATGAACATGTGCAAGAAGGAAGTTGTGAGTAGTTTGTTCTCCTCTTCACTGCTGTGGGGCATGAAATCCTGTATGAACACCACTGCAGAAATTGAAACCTGGCTTTTGTGGGCCAGGTATTCAGAGCTTCATTTATCTCTTGGAATTTTTTGGTCTCTTTATTTCTGTATGTCCAGCAAAGCAGCTCTGTTCTGATTTCCCATTATCATAGATAGATTTTCTCATGGCTCTGGGCTACACTGTGAAAGAATAGTGGGGCAGCCAATTTTGATCTGTAGATCTTTCATGTAGAGACATTGGAATATCCTCCTCCCCTGCTTACAGGCTTGGCAGCCTCAGAGCTGTGTAGTAGCCAGTGTTTCCTGGGATGGCTTTCCCAAGTTGCCTCCTGACATACATCAGGAGCTCCTGCTCTGGAAATGTCACCCATCTTCCCAGTAGGAACACAATCTTATCCTGAAGCTCTCCTACCCCAGAGGTGCTGCAGTCACAGTTTTCTCTGTAGAAGGGCGAGTTATTCCTTAGATGTGTTCAGACACTTCTGCCTCTGCACTGTCTGAGGGTGCCATGTACTAAGTACTACATTTTATTTGTGTGACAACAGAATCTGTGCTGTTACTGCTACTTCTTTATTTTGAAATAGAATTTCTCAGGCTTTAGAATTTTATTTTTGCCTTTTTTCTTTTTTTTTTTCTTTTTCGCTTGTGTGCCACCTTGACACCTCAGACACACAGTAGTGCTTTGTTGTATTTTTCTAGGTTGGGGATGGGAGGGAATTACTCTTCATTGAGGTGAACCTCCTTAACTTCAGGTGTTTGGTAAAATCTTCTGCTCTCTGTAAAGCTTTCTCTGCCTTTAAAAAGATGCTTGCCAATAAATCTGACATTGTTTTTGATGGGTGAATGTTTTCCTGATGTAATCAGGAGACTGGAAGAAGGGAAAATCAGCAGGACACTTGGCCATGTGTCACAGAAGAAGCCCTTTAGATGATGATGTTAGACCACTGATCACTTTATGCAAAACCACAACATGAAAAGCTCTGTATCCCATCATAAGGTGAAACAGTTCTGAGTCCAATCTCTATCTTAGGGTCTGCTTACAGAGTAGTTTTCGTTTTCCCAGATAATGCTGCTGTCTGCCTAAAGGGGCAGTGAAGAATTTAAAAAATTACCATGACTTTCCAATACCTGCCTCCTAAAAAGTGTGCGTGTGTGTATGTACCATGTCGTATGCATGGCTCCAGAGTACTCAAAACTGTTCTCTGATTCTTTAGCTGAGTAACTCCAAAGAAATATCCTAGGAACTTTTTGTGCTTCACATGCTGGATATTTTCAGCTTGGGTTAGAATTCTCTCCCTTTGAGGGTTTTATTGGCATTGCTTACAGGCCAAGGACTATTCTGTTTTGGTATTTATCTTAAAGGCTTTGTCATGCATAAAAGGAAAACACTGTTATTTCTATTGATTCACCTTCAGAGCATGTAGCAAATTCAAAGAGACATAATAACTAAGTGAGGAGAAGCTGCTAAATGGCAGAAAGGAACAAGGAGAAGGTTCCTGGGCCTCCATCTGAAAGGTCATATACCTGGCATCTTTTGAATGTCAAGCGTGAAGATGAGAAAGCAGTGTAAATAAGGCAGTGCCTTTGCACTGCTGGTTGGCAGGTTGGCTCACTCGCTCTTGCTGTCCTTCCTGTCAGGATCTGTCACTGTGAGGGAGATGATGAAAGCCCCCTCATCACGCCGTGTCGCTGCACGGGGACGCTGCGCTTTGTCCACCAGGCCTGCCTGCACCAGTGGATCAAGAGCTCGGACACGCGCTGCTGCGAGCTCTGCAAGTACGACTTCATCATGGAGACCAAACTCAAGCCCCTCCGGAAGGTAGGCTGCTTTGGAGTCTAATTATCCTCAGGTGTCAGAGCTCCAGGATGGCTGTGGGAATTGCAAGCACAGTTAAAGAAACATCTGTCCAGAATGGCTTTGTATGTGCTGTTGGTAATCAGTCACGGTGATTTTATTCTTACGTGTAAGCTGGTTAATTTTCAGCAGGAGAAAAATTGACTTAAAGACTCTCTTTCTTCACACATACAATATAAATGCACAAACAATAGTCTTTTGGCTTAGACTTTCTATCTTCAGCTTTTTGTTATGAGTCATGCATGTTTTTAAGCCAGAAAGAAATCTTTTCATGTTTTGCTCCTGAGTAACACAGTCCAGTTCACCCAGCAATTTTTACACAAAGCCCATAACTCCTGGTTGAGAATGATGCTTATACCCACGTGGAGACAGCAGTTACGAAGTAACACAGTCAATTTAGCTGCATCTGTTGTAGCTGTGGCACTCATGGGCAAATTAATCACTTCTCCTTTAAAATTAGTTAATGGAATTTAAAAGACACGGTGACTTTGCATTCTGAATGTCAAATGTGTGTTATCTCCACTCATCTGTTTTCTAAGATAAATCAATAAAATGCTACACAGATTGTCAGTATAGGGAAGGTGAAGAGTTTATTAAACATATGTGGGTTCTGTTTTCTTTGGAGTGGATAATTTCTCTTCAAATTTTTATTTTTAAATCCTCTCATCCTTCTGGAGTCGTGTTGAATCTTTGAAGTTTGAGTCAGTCTGGAGCTGGGCAAGTTTTGATTTAAAATAAATTTCTACATGAAAAACACACAGCAACTATTGCTTTGGACTAGCATATGCCTATATAGTAGCGTTCTAATGGCAAAAGACATTTTGTTTTTGTTGGCCTTATACAGGTAGCAGTAGTTCAGAGAAAAGAGAATCAACGCAATTCCTTCACACTTCCCATTCAGAGGAATTTTCTATCAAATCCATGGTGATAAACCACTTCTGAGGGAAGAATTTGGGGCTAATTTGGAAAGTAAAGCTTGTGATAGGGAAAGACAAAGTTCTCAAATGCCAGGTACATCTGGCCTTGTATGCTAGAAATTGAAACAAAAAAAAAAAAAGATGGCTAAAAACTTAATTATATTTACTTCAGTTTTAGTAATTGCAGATAAAATTTAACTAATGTAAGGATGAGATAATTGTATAAAACCCCCCTGCCTGTTGCATATCTTTGGGGGCGTTTTTCAGTTTATCTGTTTCTATTTTCAAACAAAATTGCTTTAAAGTCTAGCAGGTACTCTCACAACACTTACTTTTCCCAAGAGAATACACAGATATAGGTATTTTTAACAAAAGTTTTTTCCTGGTTTTGTTAGATAATATAGCATCTTCTATAAAAGGGAAACAAAATTTATAGCAACCAAGGAGAAAAGGAGTGGAATATGTGCATAACTTGAAATCAGAAGTTTTAACTCTGTGTGTGGTCAGTGCCACATCTCCTCCTCCTTTTAGAGTGGTAATGTAATTCCTACAAGTCTGCAATTTCTTAATTTAATGATTCCCACCTTGTTCAGCTTATCATTGGTTCTCAGGTATGGTTTAGATGTCTGCATAGAAAAGATTCACCTCTTCTTTCAGGCAGGATATTTTTGTTTCTGCTTGAACCACTATTCAAAAGTAGTTTATCTGCCTGGCAGTCTGTGCTGGTAACATTCCTCCCTTCAAATGCTAACAAATACTTGTTTGTGTGGAATGGACCCAGCATCTAACTATAATTCCTTTCTTGTAAGTCACACACATTTCAGAAACCAAAGCTCCCAAAGATTTCAAAGTTAAAATTGGTTGTCCTTTGGCATTTATAGCATTCAACTGTGACACCCTTCACGTGTTACATTTAATTAAATATGTGATCCTTACTAAGTGTGAGCATTATCATCACCATCATTCACAAATTTGTGAAACACTAAACTGTTTATGAGAAGCTGTTTTGCAAACCAAGTATTTTGACTCCTGTAGCAAAGCTAAAGTAAGGGAGGAAAAAGTGATCATGAGACCTGCCATATGAGTAGAGCTGACTGGTAAATTTCCACCCAAACATCCTTTATAAAAATCACTGAAACTGTTTTGATTAGGTTTTTTTTTTGGTTTTTTTTTTTTTTTTTTGTCAGACCTTATGTATTTTGCAAAAGTGGAAAGTCCCAATGAAACACTGTCAAATTTCTTGGCAGCTTTTATGAAGCCCAGAATCTCAGTTCTGGAGTGTTCCTGTGTTTTCAAAGGACTGGCACAAAGGGTGGTGAGCAAAGTTCTGTGGGACAGGCAGCTCCTAACACCAAAGCTCTCCACAATCCTGTCTCCCTGATGTAGGATCTGGAAAACACTACTGACTCTGGGATTTCCAGACCTTGAAAGCTTTGGGTTTTGCTAAATCTTGGTTCTGTACTAGACCTCAAGAGCCTTCAGTCCCCTAAGTCTGGCCTGTCAGCAGTGAATCAAAATTTCCAAACTTTTGCAATCCTCTTGGCATGATGGCAGGAATGTTATGTATCTGAAAACAACACAATTCTTGTCAACTTTGTTGGATGCCAACTGGAACAGCAAAATTTATGCCAAAAAATAATTAATTTTGCTAATAAGCTTTGAGGAGTTCCGAAAACAGATCTTTTTCATGCTTCCTAAGCAAAAGACCATATATTTTGTTTCAAGAAAGGAGTGCCTATTCAATTCCCTAAGAAACTAATTTATTAAAAAAACAAAGGAAATTATTTCCCCTAAAGTGACTTTCTGTCCAGCTCCAGATGATACAATTTCCATGGCCATTAGACCTGGATTTGAAGTGACATTCTACAAGGGGAAGGGTCACATCTCTTTATCAGTTCTGATTTTTTGTTTTTTAATCTGTCTCATCACTTATTATACAACATTCTAAAATTTGGTTCCTGACTGTGCATTGTTTCATTATGATTAATTTTGTCATAATATCTTCGTAAAATTCCTGCTGCTGATCTCCTGAAGGGAAAAAATTAGAGACAACCAAACTTAATTACAGCAATCTATAGTTTTGCATTTTGCAGAATCACAAAAGCCTGATTTAAATATAAAACAAACTATTTAATTCAATAATTAATTACCATTTTTATTTATGCCTCAGCCCTTCTTGCACCTTCAATGTTCCATAACAGATTTTTTATCAAAGTCTAAGGTTTTATAACACAGTCATTTTGGAATGTCATGCCATATCTGTTAGCACCCATAAGTGACAAAGTAGAACATAAAAAGTTAGCATGAATTAAGATAATCAGTATTAAATCAATAGGTTTGTGCCAATGTGTGACAGTTATATAATTAGAGAATCCCTGAAAGCACCAGACATCAAATAAAACTCAGTTTAATCATTTTAGTGAGTCTTTGCATTGAGGTAATCCTTTGAAGCATTGATCAACAGACATTGCACGTGTTTCATATATTTGGACAGGTCTAATTACTCAGCTCAGATAAATATAGAGATTAAATATTAAGCATTGCTTAGTGTTTCTGGTTTATTTCTCATGGTCTCTGTTACATCTGTCTGTCATTATAAATAATACAGCTACATTTGTACCTTTGCCTCTCAGCATCTGCAATCCATCATGCAGAATTTAAAGGGTGACTTATCACAGAAGGAATTAGAAAGTGGTAAGAAGCTGAAGCTTGTGTGAGTTCCTTATTGAGCTCTATCAGGTAATAGCTTAAACCTGAGAAAAACACTTACTTAAAATTGATGCAATCCTAGATATTAACACCTGCATTTCATACCTCTTGAATTTGGTGTTTGAAGACTAGTAAAAATGAGAATTGAATGAAAATACAGTGAGAATGAAACAGATTAAAGTGTAAAATTAAAAGAAGCTTAAACAAAAAAAATGTCTTTAAATGGAGATTCTCAACAGTTCCTTGCTATACTTCAAAATACTTTTCTTATTTAAATTTTGCTGTCTATTTAAGACATCTAGTATCTGATGAGATGTCTTACTTTGATGCATCATCCCAACAGACTATTGTGTGGTGTCAGAGATGTCTATTTTCTCTCCCAATTCTATTTTTTAAATGATTTACAAATAAAGTCTTATTTATGTGAGGCATAAGCAATATTGCTCATTGTTACCATGTGGTTGCTCTTGGTCATTAAGGAAGCACAAGTCAATTTTTTTGTTTACAGAAGTGTTATGAAGCAGTTGAGGTTAATTTTCTTTCTGATAGGAAGAGTATCTGAATTTATGCCTTTTCAAAAATAGAGGACTGGGAATGTTCTTTTAGTACAGAGTGATAGGTTTCTATTAAATTAAACAGGAGCAAAGAAAATGCTGATCGTGAAATAAACTTGGTCTTATTTATTTTGAATGTGTACATGTGTCTTCTAAGTGTTTATCCCTCTAGTATTCTGTATTTGCTTATATGCTGATATAAAAAAACTCATAGCATGCCTGAAACATTCACTGATGGCAAAATATGGTAAGGGTGTTTTTTACTTTTGATTCAATGCTGGCTTGGTAATTCATATTTACATTTCTTTTTTAAGAGTATGGTGATCACTGCCAAAAGTCATAGAACCTGCTGTGACATTTCTGTGATATACTGCTCTGAAATCAAAAGTGCTGGCCATTAGAAACTACTTTTTCCAGAGTAAACTCTCAGATCCAGATGTTACCAGAAGAGTCTCACAAGAAAAAAACCCAAACTTTTAGGCAGTCATTACCATAGTGCTTGCTGTTCAGTTCTTACTGCCCTGTGCTGTGAGGTATGAACCACCTGGCTTTGTCGTTGCTTTTCTAATAATGCTCGTGATAAGAAGTGCTATCAAATATTGCACAGGTCTTGCTGTGGGACTAGTTCCCTTTTGACCCAATTTGATGAATATTTTGCAGTCCTCAACATAGAAGGAGCTCCTGCATTTTTCTTTGATTTCTGGTGCAGCTACATAGTGTCGTCAAGGCAACCTGCTCCAGCATTCTTTCTTCCAGTAAACTGTCTCAAAACATCAGTAGCCTC